TGATAATCAACAAGGCTCTAGAACAGTTGGGATACAATCAGAAACAGAACGTACAACACCAGGGATAATTCATTCAGTTTTAAAGAATAAATCAAAGTTTTTTCCAACATGGGAAAAGGGAGATCGTATACCGGTTTTTAGCGAAATGATAATTTGAGAATTTTTCTAAAAATAGAGGTAAAGAAAATTTGACGAGAAAGGAGAAACAAGCTTTAAAGGTCCTTAAGGATAATAAAGGGATAGTAATTAGACCAGCAGATAAAGGTGGGAGTATTGTGATTTTAAATAGAGATGATTATTTGAAGGAGTCCCAGAGAATATTAGGAGACTCTAACACTTATAAGATCTTGGCAAATAACCCTAGTTATTGTTTTAAAGAAGAATTACATGGTATATTAATGTCAGGTGTGGAAAAAGAAATAATAAATAAGGATGAATTTCAATATCTATTTATTAATTCACCAAAGACAGCGGTCTTCTATTATTTGCCAAAGGTCCATAAGTGTCTTGAGTCTCCACCAGGGAAACCTATTAGTGGGATTGGCTCATTGATGAGCAACATCTCTCAATATATAGATTTTTATTTACAAAAATATGTAACCACAACTAGATCATACACTAAAGACTCCACCCAGATTATTAGAGAGTTTGAAGGTCTGGAGTGGAAAGATGAATATCTCTGGGTGACAGTAGATGTAACATCTTTATATACTGTGATAGATCATGAGAAAGGGTTAAAGGCGATACAGAATGTGTTAATTAATGATCCCCAGATGAATCCAGAACAGGCATCTTTTATTTTGGACCTTATTAGGTTCATCTTGTTCAACAATTTTTTTTGGTTTGAAGGGGTATATTACCTTCAAACATGTGGGACAGCGATGGGCACTAGGTTCGCACCGAGTTATGCCAATATTTTTGTGGCAGATTGGCACTTGAATAGTATCTGGCATAACAACCCATTCGGTGCGAACCTGGTGCAGTGGAGACGCTATATTGATGATGTCCTTATTATCTGGAATGGGAGGAGGAGTCGCCTAGATGAGTTTTTAACTTATATTAATTCTAATTTGTATGGTCTTAAATTTACGTTGGATATTAGTGATAAATGCATTAATATTTTGGATCTCACCTTATTTGTAAAAGAAGGGAACATTCATAGTAAGACCTTTTTTTAAACCTACGGATGGTAATGGTTTTATTGAGTTCTCTAGTTGTCACCATCGCAACTGGTTAACCAATATTCCTAAGGGACAACATATGAGAATTTTTAGAAACTGTACTGAAAAAGAGGATTTTAGAGAGCAAGTCCAGATTTTAAATAAGAAATTTGCTGACAGAAATTATCCCAGAGAACTTTTACGTAATACACAAAGAGAAGTAGAAAGTCTCCAAAGAAAAGATCTTTTAACTAGTGCCCAATATAATAGAAAAAAGAAGGATGGTAAAAATTGTACAGAATTCGCATTTTTATCAAAGTTTAATAATAAAGCTAATTTATTAGAGAGATCGATCCGAAAAAATTGGCCCGTTTTATTACAAGATAAATTTTTAAGGCATATTTTACCTAAGAGACCTAAAGTATTATATAAGAGACCCAACAATTTGAAAAGCATCTTAGCCCCTAGTATTTTACTCAGAAAGGAGGTTGTAAGAGGTGGTATCAATTTTTTATCAGAGAAACCTAAAGGTTTTTTTAAGTGTGGGAGGTGCACTACATGCAAATTCCAGAAGAATAAGGTTACAGAATTTTGCAGTACAGTAACTAAAGAAACCTTTCAAATTAAGCACTTTATTAACTGTCGAATCCAATTCGTGGTTTGTTTGTTACAATGTAAATGTGGTATCCAATATATAGGAAGTACAATCAGAAAATTACATATAAGATTACTTGAACATTTCAATGGTATTAAGAACAAGAATATGAAGCATAGTGTACCTAAACATTGTAACGTTTGTAAGGAGTTTGATTTTAAGGATTTTATCTGCATTGGGATTGATAAAGTTGTACCACATTGGAGGGGTGGAGATACTGAAAAGATGTTAGCTAAGAGAGAGACAGAATGGATATACAAAATGAAATCCTCTGTCCCCTCAGGACTTAATACGGATATGGACATATTGTCTTTTATTGATTAATTGACTGTGTATTAACCCCTGTTTTGACTTTTGTCTCTTTTTTAATATTTTTTTTAAATATTTTTTTAATAATTTTGATAATTTCTTACATTTTTTTTTTATATTTATATTATTTTTAATTTAAATTTTATGTATATTTATATATTTTTTCCACACATATTGGTGTCTGGTTTTATTTTTATGTCTGTTTTCTCATGTATTTTAGCATATGAAACATGCGAATGTATGGTCTCAAAATTAATTGTCATTTTGTATCTTTAGAAGTTTTTTATGCCTCCAATGTTTAAAATCATAATTTAAGATCATGTTTTAAAATCATCTATTTATGCCTCCATTATTTTACTTTATGTATACGATTCTAATTTCATGTATAATTCATTTGCTTTTAGATGTAGATGTTACCCCTATCGATATTATCTCCACCTCTTAAGAAGTATTGTCACTATATATAATTAGGACTGCTATATTTTTTGTACATTTGATATGTATATTTTTATACATTCTATCTAATTATTTATTTTTTATCCATTCTTATCTCCTTTTCACTATTTTATTCATTAATTTATTTATTGTCCCCAGTAAGTCCCATTTATATTTTATATGTGGGCTAGAAATTATTGTTAGGGGAGTAGCTGGGTGCTAGGTAGGCTTGTAAACACAGTTTTTGCATTACATGTGAGCGTTCTTGGTGTAGGACGCTCTGATGATACTATATGAACAATAAAGTTTTTTTTGCGTTCCAGCGGACGGACCGGCGAACCGGCAGATTTAAAAGGAAAAGAAGATGAAGAGAAGCAAGAAGCTCCTGAGGAAGTCATACAGACGAGACGCGTTGAGCATCATTGGGACCCTGCAGTTTGGTATTAGCAGTTTCTTTTTTACATGTTTTTTTGCGAAGGACTGTGTGGGCAGTATTTGTTTTCATCATCCACTTCTGATGGGAGTTGTGCTCTCTCACTCTGATTGTCTGCACTTTAGTATTTGCACTTTGCATGTTATATAGAACTGCTTTGCCTACGGGTCTTTTAGCCTATTGAGGCTTTTTATATATATTTTTACTATTGCACATTGTTGGTGCTGCTAATATATGTATTTTTCTCAATAAATTGTGTTATCTTAATCTCATTTCAACCCTCATTTATCTATCTGGTGAATGTGGCGCCCTGTAATTTCTATGTTTTGTATTGTATTATTAAGGTTGGAGTGACCTTTTATACAGTGGCTAGTCTGCACCTAGTTTTCACTACACTTTACCCAACTCTATTTTCTTATGCTACTCTGGCCCTGACTACTTGGAAAATAAATTGTCTTTGTTTTTACTAAATGCAACCATTCGTAAGAAACTTTTCTGCACTTTTAGGTAAATATGATTTTTATTGTTTGTTATTTTTTTTTTTTTTTAGTGCAGCATTAACATAGAACAATTGAGTACACCAAACAGTGAGGCACGCAGGCCTCCAAAAATGTTAGGAACTGTTGGCATTTATTCGTAGTATGCGTTGGACTCGCAGGTCCTCTTGGGTTAAACATGACATTGTCGATTCATATTTCGGGAACTATTATCATTGACTAGGTGTGTCCGTCTGTGGGTATGTATTGGCTTTGCGAGGGATGCAGTGCCCTCGTTGAGTGATGGAAATGTGATTGGTGTCTGAGTGTGTAGTTGTGTCTTGGCGGCCCTTCTCTGTAGTGAGTGGGCATCCTATCAGTGGGGCGCGCAGGTCACCAATGAAGGTGATTGCTGTCAGTATGATGGCATTGTTTATTTTGGACTCGCAGGTCCGCATCAATAAAACATAGCCTTTTTATCCCGGATTCCAAAAACAATGATTATGGGAAGAATGACCTTCCACAAGCGTTGCGTTCCCTTCTGTGTGGTGTAGTGTTTCTACAATGTTGTATAATGATTATTGTTATTGGTGTGAGTGGCTTCTGCATTACATTTTATATGTTGGGTAGCTGAGCCTCCATACAGTGAGACGCATAGGTCTCAGATAGCGAAGATAGCATTAAGTACATTGGTGCTATTTAGTTTGGACTCGCTAGAGTAATATTTAACATGTTTGTCACATATTCCAGACAGTTTACTCAAGGGTAAGGTAACTTTCTGCAGGTGTTTGGTTCCCTAACGTAGAGTATGCCTTTCCCAGTTTGTTATCCGGTTCGTATTGCCCATGTTTGTGTGTGAGTACTGAATTGCGTGACTAAATTGTCATTGTCGTAATTTTGTATGTCTTCTGTGTATTTATTAGTATCCTTTTGTTTTGTCGACTTATGTTCTTTCCTGTTTTTTTCTGCACTTTTAAAAAGTATCCAGTAGAGGGAGCAGCCTTTACACTTTTTTCTGACCAATTGATATACAGTATATGGACCCTTTGAGTGCATAAATGGTGTGTGAGACTGTGATTAACGAAACTGCTTCCATCTGTGACTTATTAGTGTTTTAATGATTGTAAAACATGGAGAATTTCACTAGTCTGGCCACGCACACAGAACTGAGAGCCATAGTCTGGGTGAAATTAATACTGCTTGTGATGGATGCAGAGGTCAATAATTACAAGAATCCTAATTACATAAGCATTCCACGGTGGAGGGGGAGAGTGACGTCAGATATTAATTTCTTCTATACCATACCATTTAAGTCATTTATTTGTATGTATCCTCTGTGTCTGAATCTGGATTCACACAAAGGAATATGAAATACTGGACGTATTTAAAAGTACTCAAATTGCAAATACTACAAATTTACTAAACTGCAACTTTTAGGGAATTAAATCCAATTGGCAGAAATAGATCATTTGAAAATATTTATTTATATAGCACTTGAAAGTTTGGCTATTTTATCCTTCATTTTGCAGTTCACATTTTAATTTGTTTAAATTCAGAGTATAGTGAATAGATCTGATTGTAAATTCTGCAGAGATAGACCACTCTTCCACATTGTCAGGGATATTTACTAATGTGAGGATTTAAGGTAAATACAAAGTGAATTTTAAACTTAAGGTGAAAATAGTGAACTGGAAGTTTAGCTACTCTTGCCTTAAAATTTAAATTCACTTTGAATTCTCTCTCGAGCATATAATCTGTTGTGTGTGACTGCTGATAAAAACGACAAAGGACTGGTGAAGTAATGTAAGACAAGTAGAGCACTGTGGATCAGATAGGGCAATGTGGGTCATACTGAGCAATGTGGGTCAGAGCACCGTGGATCAGATAGGATAATGTGGGTCAGAAAGAGCTATGCAGGTCCGAGCACAGTGAATCAGATAGGGCAATATAAGTCAGAGCAATGTGGATTAGAGCACCGTGGATCAGATAGGGCAATGTGGGTCATCTAGAGCAGTATGAGTCAATTAAAGCAAAGTGGGACAGACAGAGCAAATCAGTTGGAGCACAGGTGTCAAACTCTACGGATGTTGTATAACTACAACTCCCATGATACTGTGGCAAATCCGTGGCAAATCCTCATGGAAGCTGTGGTTATTAAACATCTTGAAATTCACGTTTTTTTTCACCTCTGAGAGAGCAATATGGTAGTTCACTGAAGCCATTTCACAGATTGTGTATACCTAAAATAGGGATTGTAGGATGTTAAGAAGCTGATTGTAGATCGTGAATGTGACGGTCTGAATAATTATCACCGTCAAGTATTCCCTTATTCCCATAAAACAATATTGCCAATAATCCACAAGGTAAAATATTGCTGGTATCGCATAATAATCCACACATGAGCCAAAGCTTAATGCTGGAACAAGACTGATTTAATGGAAGCAAGGGCATTCAATTAATACAACATCAGACTCCTCCTCTGAGCCAGCTAGATAATTGAGTTTTAGGAACATACTAAACTCAATTATCTGCTGGCCAGAAAAAGTTAACAATTTCACAATTTTTAGAAATATACTTTATACATATCAAAACCTGGGTAGCTGAGCTTGATGGGAGTAACATGTAAAAAATTCACAAAAAAATCAGTTCGGTACTTTTCGAACGGCACCGTGTGGAAGTTTGACCGGCTCGCCACGAGGTTGTAGCCGACCAAGAGTTCCATAGAATTGGCAGCAATAGCCGATCTCCGTTCGGATGGATTTATACGAAAACCACCATAGATGGAATAAAGATGATTGGTGTAAAATGCTCCCCTTGTTCGTCTGTTTGAAACTCCCGAACGCCGTTCCTCTAACGTATGGGGAAGTAGTTTGTATGGGACTTCCATAGAGACCAGGTGTTCGTGCGAGTGCTATGCCCAAAACAGTTCCAGGCACTCGACGACCAAGTCCCGCTGGCCGCGTTCGGGAGTTAAGATGGCCGCCGTCCATTGTTCTCACCACGTGCGTTCGTATGCACGAAATGACAGCCACCTAAGAGCATTCAATTAACGTGCGGTTTTCGTATAGTTGCTCAGTGTTCCACGTTCTAATTGGTACCCAGGGTGGTCTCCGTTCGGTAAAACAAATGTTTTACCGAACAACGAAAAAATAAATGAAATAGCCCAATGAATAAAATATCAGGGAGTGGAGACAACCAAATGGGAAATCCTTCACAGTGAATGTATAGAATTGTCAAGGGAATTGAAACTTTTATGCCAACTAGTCCAACTGAAAAAAAGACATCTAATTTAAGTATTTTGCAAATCTGGTTTATGTGGCATAACTATTTCAATTATCATCTGCCTGACAACCCAGGTAGAAAGTCCAGAGAATTTAATTTGCAAGCCCTATAGTTAACCCTGTGGCATAACAATTTCAATTATCATCTGTGACAGTAGTCACCATCACAGACAGACTATTTATGTAGGTTGCTGGACTTTTCTTATGTTTTAGTCACTCTGTACCCATTATAGGATAAGGGTGTGTGTAATGTAATTGTTTATATTGTGTGTGCGCGTGTGTATTTATTGTTAAGTGTTTTGCCTGCTCTCCTGTACTGCTAAAGATTGCTACCAACTAGGTGGATTTGGCTATGGAGCCTGTGTAGCGCCCTCTGTTGGTAGCAACAGCAATATGCACTACCTGAATAGCAAGGCTGATTATTTTTTATATTTGGTTAGATTTGCATAGTGCTCATTCTGCAGACAGAGAGATATTTTCTGTTAATTATTGTCTTCTCCACCCCTTTATAAATATGTCATTGTGTTATAGTAAGTTGCTGTATGTTTTCTGCTGTGGTTTGACTGTTTGTATTTATATTGAGTTTATGTAATAATCATATAGGCTAGTCCCAAGTAAAATAAAGTTCTGTATGTCAGTTCCTTTTGGAACTTGTGTCCTGTGTGGATTTATAGGGATCCCAGTGACAGAGTCTTCAGACCTGTTTGCTGATTGCAGGCCTGAGAGCTGCAAGTGTCTTTTTAAAGACAAGAGCTATATAATTGCAGGTGGATACCTGCCTGGAAGAAGGACTTCAGTGTATGAGGCAGAAGGGACGATACCTGCCTGGCAGTAGAACTGCAGACCAGTGGCGTACACACAATCCAAGGGGGCCCGGTGCGAAAATTGATCTGTGGGCCCCCCTCCCTGGAGCTTAATCTGTGCGTACTGGGGCCGCTACACATGGCGGCGGGAACCTGGTCGCAAGGCTGCGACCCCTGCGACCGCGGTGTGCACGCCAGTGCATGATACACTTAAAGGACCACTATAGGCACTCAGATCACTTCAGCTCAATGAAATGGTCTGGATGCCAGGTCCCTCTAGTTTTAACTCTGCAGCTGAAAACATAGCTGTTTCAGAGAAACTGCTATGTTTCACTGAGGCTTAATCCAGCCTCTAGCAGCTGTCTCACTGACAGCCGCTAAAGGCGCTTCCGCGATTCCGCTGGACGTTCATAGGAAAGCATTGAGTAATGGTTTCCTATGGGTGGTTTGAATGCACGCGCAGATCCCCGAGAGGCGGATCGGTGCGGAGAGATCCCCAGTGCCAAGGGAGCCCAGCGCTGGAGAAAAGTAAGTGCTGAAGGGGTTTTAACCACACACACACACTCTCACGAACAGACGCAAACACACTAGATAACAGACACATACATTTACTGACAGACACACATTCAGAGACAGACACACATACACACTCACTTACAAAACACACACTCACTAAGAGACACACACTAACAGACAAACACAAACTAACACACTCAGTAACAGACACACACAGTAACACACACACTCACTGACACACAAACTAACACACACACACACTGACACTCACTAGCAGACACACACTCAATAACAGACACACAAACTAACACACTCAGTGACACACACACAGTAACACTCACTAACACACTTACTGACACTCACTAGCAGACACACTAACAGACACACACAAACTAACACACACACAGTAACACACTCACTGACACACACACAGTAACACTCACTGACACACACAAACTAACACACTCCTTAACAGACACACACACAGTAACACACTCACTAACACTTACTAGCAGACACACTAACAGACACACACAAACTAACACACACAGTAACACAGTCAGTGACACACACACAGTAACACACTCACTGACACACACAAACTAATACACTCAGTGACACACACACAGTAACACTGACTAACACACTTACTGACACTCACTAGCAGACACACTAACAGACACACACAAACTAACACACACACAGTACCACAGTCACTGACACACACACAGTACCACAGTCACTGACACACACACAGTAACACACTCACTGACACACACAAACTAACATACACACAGTAACAGACACACACACAGTAACACACACACAGTAACAAACTCACTGACACACACAAACTAACACACTCATTAACAGACACACACACAGTAACACACACACAGTAACAAACTCACTGGCACACACACACTAACACACACTGAATTTTTTTATTTTTTATTTAATCCCCCAGTCCTCGTCAGACTTCCCTGAACACAAATATGAGTGTTTTAAAACTGTTAAATATATCACGACAATGATATTATTGTTGAAAGTGCAGTTTTTGTGTAGAAAATGCAAAAAAACAAATATGACCGCTAACTTTGGCCAGGGTTTGTGACTAAGTGGCTACTAAAAAAGACTGGACATGGGGGTTATTGTTTTACTTGTGAGACAGTGCTGAATACTTATATGTATATTTTGTTGCAGTAACAGCAAACAGTATTATGACTTTCACAGTTAAAATTCCATGCAGAATTAAAAAAATAAAATTTCTCACAATTGTTTTACATTTTATTCATATTAACTTATGTTTCAAAACTAAATATTTGATGTTAAATGAAAGCCCTGTTTTTCCTGAATAAAATAATATATAATATATTTAATATGAAAGATGTGAATTACGTTTGAACAGACATATAGCGCAAATTTCAGGTTTTGTTTACATTTTGTTTTGATCACAACGTATACATTTGGCTCCATCCTGAAGGGGTCAAAAAGTGATTGAGGTTTCAGTGTAAAACAAATATATATAATGTATTAGTTTATTGTGTCACAGAAAACATGATGACATATATAATTGGCATTAACAAATATCTTAGAAATCACTTTGTAAGCTTATAATAAATTAAGCCTCTTTTTAGAGAGAGATTTTCAATACAAAGTTTGCATTGTTTTTTTTTAATTGAATTTAGAAAATATAATGCCAGGAAAAAAAAAATTGTTGTTGTGTTTTCCTATGCTTGACAAATGTATACATAGTCATGGGTGATCTGGCTGTCCTCTTAGTTCCTTCATCCTATAGGAAAAGGCATATAGACAAAAGTCTTGGGCAAACATGAGTGAATCATTCTGAAAAAGAAGGTATAACAGATTGTTAATTAGCATATTTGGAAATTTGCCAAGCATTCCCAGGACACTGGATTTTACAAAATGGTTGCTAGGCCTGCACATCAGTTTATTGATCTGTTACTCATCCACTCGTTGCTGGACTGTGTCCTCTAATTAATTAATGATAGTTCCACCTCAAATAACTTAATTCAAAGCACTTTATTCAGCCATGACAAGCAATCTACGTTTTCATTCCTTACAGGCATTTATCAATACTTTTTTTAGACTCGCAGACCACTGTGCTGTTAGGGACAAGATTACCATATCTAGTATATTCCTTTCCTGACCCCACTCATTATCAGTGCCAGATCTTATTTTGCCTTGGAAATCCCAATCTGCTTTATAAAGGGACAAATCTCTACAGCATAGTTAACATTGTTTGGGCATAGGCCAGATAGGTCCTCAAATCTTTCCCAATAAATGTCTACGAATGCCCATAAAATTACAGTGCCAGCACAGAGCCTAATCCTTTGGCTCTTATAGAACGCTCTTTGGTATAGTGCCAGAGGGATGCTCATTTCCACTGGGGCCAATAGTTTATTTTACTATTCTTTTATGATTGTGTAATAAATATATATATATATTTTTTCTCATTTTATTTCAAAAGTTATTCATTTAATTAAGCAGAAGATCAGGATATTTTTGGATCAAATTAACAGCTCTGGATATAGTGTGAAATGAAAAATATATGCATGTGTGTATATATATTTTAATATACACATTGGAATTGTTTTATTGAATTGCACTATTGAATCTTTCCCTTTATGTATTTTATATGCGCACATGAGAACTGACGTACCTATATTCCTATAAACATCCTGTTTGAATCTTCAACTCATATCCTGTGACAAGGATTATATTGTCAGAAGTGAATACAACAGAGCCAATAGTGGGCTCCCTGTTTGTGAGTGTATTTTTTATCGAATTATTGCTGCTATTTTTTGTTATATACAATATCACACTATTGTTGTTTTTCTTGTCATTCATTGTCATTCCATTTATCAGAGCCTACCTAAACTGGTGAACATATTGAACTACACAGTGCAACCACCATCTTTATCTAAGAATTCTCTTGTGTGATACAACAAGGACTATTTTTGTAACTACCTAGCTAAGTTACTACCACCCTTTTTTGAGAGTTTACCATTCCAGTACTATATATTTACTGTCGTTGCGGCGCAACCTGTTTCTTTTCTCTGTTATTTGTCTTATATCCTTATAACAGCGCTGTATCTATTTGTTTTTATCCATAAGCTCTTTTGGCTTCCAATATAATTTCTAAAGTACATACCAAAAGAGCTGTGGTGGGGAAAAAAGTGTGGATGAAAACCCCTTCCACCTGAAGTAAGTGGATAGTTAATACATTGCTAAACACAAATACAGACACCAGTCAAACCATAAGACTTGCTTTTCCCACAGAATGCAATTGAGTTGCATTAACAACGAAACAGCTGTTCATGAGTGGTTCACTGGCTTTGCTCCTCTTTCTGAATTGTGTGTCAATGCTGTTGTTTACAGCAGACACATACTCCAATGAATCCATGTCTAAAGTGGAATTATAAGGCAAAAAATTTGATTCTTTGTTGAGCTCATTTGCATACGCCTACCCAGAATCATCTGCAGTAGTGAGAGCGCTGTTAAAGTGAGATTTCTGTGGAAAATCAAGTATTATGGCTTGACTGGTGTGTGTACTTGTGTTTAGCAATGTATTAACTAATATAATTTCTATGTAGATGACAGGCAAATCTATCTGTCTACTCCTGATCTATTGCCATTCCTCTTGATTCATATCTCTGACAGCCTCCCTGCTATTTCTAACTAAATGGCTGTCCTTAAACTTAACCTATCCAAAACAGAACTTCTTGTCCTTCCTTCCCTAAGTGTTGCTATTCCCTTGTCTGTCTCCCTCCAAGTCAATGGCACTACCATCCGCTCTACTATGCAGGCTTGCTGCCTAGGTGTTCATCCTCACCACTCATTCTAGTCACTCCCCAAATCCTGTTGCTTCTATCTCAAAAACCTAGCTTGCTTACTCCCGTATCTAACACTAGAATCGGCTATGGTGGTGGTCCATGCTGCTATCATCTTTTGCCTTGACTCCTAAGATCTGTTTCTCACAGTTCTTATGCATTCCCAGCTCGCATGATGACATGTGCTCAGCAGGGGTTAAATTGGACTGATAGTTAATGACATCAATAATAGTAAACAATGTAACCGTCACATAAATACATAATAATAAATGAAAACACAGACTCAGAACTGTTGCAGAAAAGGCTGTGGTCTTTTATTTAGTTTGAAATTAATACAGCCAATACTTAATAACTTTATAAGCAAAACATCTCCGGTCTTTAAACCCCCCAAAGCATTAACCAAAAATCTCCGGTCTTTAAACCCCCAGAGAATTAAAACATAACTCACCAGAGTTCCGCCCTATTAGCCAGAACTTCAACCAAATGATCATAAACTCAGCTAGTCCACCCCCCTTTAGATTAGGCAGGTGACCTAAACCCCAATAAAAGACCACACCAAATGAATAGGGAGGGAGGGTGGGGAAAACAGCTCCAAAAAGGTAAGTTCTTCTTTCTTCACAAATTCTTCTTTCTTCTGGCGCCAAAAACTCACCTCAGGGCGCCTTATATATTGTATTTTCGCGCCAAAGAGTACCCTCACGGACAAGTGCTCCAATTAGAGCACTGTCCGCGCGGACCCTTGGTTGAAAGACGCACGAGGGCACAGCAACAGCTGTTGCTAAATGCCCTTGCGGTCTGAGCTAATCGCGCCGTGATCTGACCTCCGGTTAACCCCGCGACGCACATGTGTACCTAGTCTATTGACTAGGTACATTCTTGTTCTCATCAGGGGTTAAATCGGACTGATACTTAATGACATCAATAATAGTAAACAATGTAACCATCACATAAATACATAATAATAAATGAAAACACAGACTCAGAACTGTTGCAGAAAAGGCTTTTATTTAGTCTTTTATTTAGTTTGAAATTAATACAACCAATACTTAATAACTTTAAAGCCAAAACATCTCCGGTCTTTGAAGCCCCAGGGCATTAACCAAAAATCTCCTGTCTTTAACCCCTTAAGGACACAACTTCTGGAATTAAAGGGAATCATGACGGAATATTTCCATCATGTATCCTTAAGGGGTTAAACCCCCATAGAATTAAAACATAACTCACCAGAGGTCCGCCCTATTAGCCAGAACTTCAACCAAATGATCATAAACTCAGCTAGTCCACCCCCCTTTAAATAAAGCAGGTGACCTCAACCCCACATGCTACAGCATGCCTCTAATGCTGCTGCCCATCCCACCAGACCACGGCCTTATCGATCATACATTGTACATCATTATTAAAAATATCTGTAAGGAAACCTGATATATGTAATCCTCATTCGATAGTTTCCTCCCGAACCGCCAGAGCCTCAGTGAATATAGCTCTCCGTTCGGTAGATGAAATAGACGAACTGTATAGTAATCCAAATAGCTTCATAAGATAATTCCCTTAATAAAGCACACAAATCCCCAAACATCAGCCGAAGTCAAGAAGAAGGGTACAACTGAACTGAGCTTTAATGATCACACACAGGCTTTTATGCAAGTCCCCATGCAAGGGGACATCCCACAGGGAGGGACAGGGTTTAACCAATCCGGCACAGTGAAAGCATAAAACACACC